TTTATAAGTAAATTATTAAAGTTCAATAAACAAAAGGAAAATAATCAAACTTTACGAAAGGAGGCAGAGTTATTATTTTGCCGAGTGAATATGTATTTTGATTATTCTTACCACTTTTTTACCTTATTATTACTTTCATTAAAATATTTAGGTTGCTCTAATTGAATCAAAAATGTAACAGTGTTTGTACTACTCACGGTGCACCGCTAGGTGCGGTAGCTAGTGTATGTACATAAATTGAAAACATTGTACTCATTTATTTAATCACCAAATAAACCAATTGTTGCTTGTACTAGTATGGAAAATTTCCAACACGAAAAGTTTTGGTTTATTTAAACAATGAAACGATATTTTAATTTACCGCAGAAAAATAGTTTTCGAAAGTTTTCTTATTTCTTCAGCGCTCCTTTTTGACGCATTTCTTTCAGAAGCGGTTGTTGTATAGTTGTTATCTATTATTGCATCTATTTCACTTTCGGAAATGGCGTCAAACGTAGTTTTCTTTTTCACATTTTCTGTTCTTAAAAAGTTGTGCACACATACGCAAGATAATACAATCTGAATGGCTGCAGCTGGAGCGCGATGGATGGGTGAAAATAAAACTCGAAAACGGTTCGCAAGAATGCCAAAAGCATTTTCAACAACGCGCCTGTTCCTCGAAAGTATGTTGTTGTATTTAAGTTCGCTTGGTGATAGTCTTAGATGAGAGTAAGGTTTCATTACGTAGTCTTTTAGAGCAAAGGCATCATCGGCTAAAAGCACAAAAGGCGAGGGAGTTGACATGAAAGGGAGCGTGCATGGGGCTGGTATATGTACTTATTTTTTTCAATAGCGTATTTCAGGTCCGAGTTCAACCAAATTCCAGCATCACCCACTCTCCCATTAACACCGACATCAGCATAAATAAAACGATAGTGGGCATCAGCGATTGCCATCAATACAAATGAATGGTATCCTTTGTAATTGAAATACGTAGATCCTGCTTTCCTCACTGGCAGTATTCTGCAATGCTTTCCTGAGACGTTTCATCAGTTGAGTGAACTTTAAAAGTGTTAATTGTTAGTTTACCATCTAAAGCGCCGATGCAGTTCGGGAATCCCCACATCTGATAAAAGTCTTTTGCAATATCACGCCAATCTTGCTCACTTGCAGGGAATTTCAAATACTCCTCCCTTAACGCCAAATATATTGCGGGAATTGATTCCTTTAAAATTCTGGAAATGGTTGACTGCTGAATTCGGAACGGCAATTGAAGTGACCTTTGGGTTTCACCTAATTTTGGAAATATGTACATACATATGTATGTCGGTACTAAAAATTACCAAGAAAATATTATATCTTACCAGTGGATAGATATCGCAATGTCAGCTGCAGCCGTTCCGCAGCTCCTATACAGTTCCTGAATTTTGTATCCTGCTTGCTAATATAGGGGCGTACTTTTTCTAATAAGAATGCAAGCTGAGCTGGAGTCATTCTTAAGATATTTTTGTGAAGGATTGAATCCTCGCACTCAATTTCCTTTAACAGTTTATGTCTAAATCCTATGAAAAGTATTTTTGATAATTACAAAAACGAACTATATACATGTGTATATAATGTGGAATTCGAAACTTACCTTCCAGTTCTCTTTTTAAAAGCCATTGCGCAGAATATTTTTTTTTAGTCTTTTTCTTTTTCCTACGCTGTATTAAGGCAGCAGCGTTTAGCAAACAATTTGTTGCAATAGATAAAACTTGTATTTCCATTGTATGCTTAGAAAATCTCTCGTATGTCAAAATGCAAACAGCTGTGTAAAAAAACTAACGAAATACAGTAATCTGTCAAAAAACCTAACGAAATACAAGTTGGCCGGACTGTTTTTAACAACCTAGTTTGTTTTTCGTTTGTTTTTTGGTATATAGCTTACTCGCTTACACAAGAACTGAAATTGTATGTGACCTTCTCTTTCTTTCAAAATACAGCGTAAAATACACTCGAAATACAAGAAAAAAACGTAGTATCATACGGGCATAAGTAGAACTGATTTTGAATTATTTTCTTAATAAATCTTTACAAGCTTTGTGTTTTGCAGCTGCTTCTTCAAAAGATATTTATCGTTTGGACACAAATGACTTAAATACGAGGCAAACCAAGCGTACGCGCTTTTTTTTTTGATTCTTGGACTAATGATCCCGCGTTCAAAGGCTGGTTTTGTAAACACTTGAGGTTACGAGGCTTATTGCATTGTTTGCAATTGCACATTAAAAGCCAAATCAGGTAGAACTCATCTGTTGCAACACGCATGCTCGAAAAAGCACCAAAAAAGTTGTAGCAGCATAAAAAGTCAGAAAAAAGTAGGCGGCTTTTTTAAGACTTCATTGAAAATGCAATGAACGCAAAAAAGGCTGAAATATTGCTATGTTCCTTCTTAGCAGAACGGAATTTAACATTTTCAACAACCGACCACCTAACCAAATGTCTACAAGAGAAAAAAAATATTAAAAATCAACGCGATTCTTTAGCAATTTAAAACTTGGACATTATTACCCTGGAAAGTAATGGGCTATCAAACTGCATACTCAAAAAAATTCTTAAAAATCTGAATAAAAAGTTGAAAATCTAGCTGGAACTTTGCAGATTTTTTATAATTTTTGCACAAAGTTTGAAACGTGGATTTATATTTTGTTTGTTACATAATGAGCTAGGCTTTTATGGAAAAATAATAAACATTAAATAAACAAAAGAAAAACAGCCACAATCGATCAAAATATTGATGACTTAATCAGGTGATCACAAGTGTACATATGTATACAGTTTTTTTTATATTAACGATCTCAAACCAGTTTACAATGAATTTTAAATGTGATCTGTCGAAATGACTTTTTAATATACTTTACATATATACTTGTGTACCTTTGTATACAATAAGTTTAATAAGAACAATTCTGTGTGCATACATTTGAAAAAGACGTTTTTGGGTAGGAAATGACGTTTTTTCATACCAGGAAATGACGTTTTTTCATGCCGAAGACCTGGCAACACTGATGAGGAGTTAACTTTGACCATAACCCACTGTTAATGGAAATATTTTTCGTTTGCAATACGTTTTTTGTGGGAGACTGCCAACGGAGTGGTGAGCAAATTTAAATCATTTCAAAACTAATTTTAATCAAACAATTTTGGAGTGCAGAGTAATTGTTTGTTTTATTGTAAAACAGGGCCAGAATCAAGACATCCGGAATGGAATCATATTCGAATCGGAATTTTCTTTACAGCTTTTGGTAGCGAATTCGCTTTTTCAGTTCAAAATGTATTTGAGAGAAAACAGCTGTCATTTTGTTTCATTCGATTCGAATCGTGTTTCATTCGATCACGGATGCCATGATTTGGGCCCACTTTTATGTACTACATATTTATACCTTTTTTGTTGAATGTTTTATTATTTTATAAAGAACTACAATTTATTCCAAGGCGAATTCATATAATAAGGTGACAGCAAAAGTTCAAAAGCAAAAATTCCACTAACAAATTTTACCCATAATGACAATAAGAATTACAACAAATACATCATTTTGACATTAAAAATCCCCAAGGCGAAAATTCAGCTACTTTGGTAACACCATCTTACCTGAATTAGCTTTCATTTGTCCTAAATGAGTAAAAACTATATAATAATGTTTCTTTTAAAAAAATCTACCAACTTCTACGTTTGTATGTAAAATCTACCAATATTAATTTTTTCGAAGTCCGTGCACTGGCCGAGTATTCTTTTCGATACTTTTAATGAGTACAAGCATCGAGTACATGGTGGTATCGGACGAACACTACACATACTACGAACCAGGGATANTGTACTGTGAAGACCTTCACAGCACGAACGCAAATCAACAGCAAAAGGAATTTCGACTGTTGCTGTACTGTGAAGCAGGGATGAAAAAGTAGGTACAATTGCACCTTTTTCCGACGTTTGATGACTTAAAGGTACATTAGGTACAGTCACTAGATTTTAGGTACAATCATCTTTTGATCAGATGCATTATTAGTTTTTTTTCCTTTACCGTGCTAATATATTTACTTATAGGTAGAAGTTTCGCTTTCATTTTGAAACAATTCTAGAGAAAAGTGGTCAAAAGGAAGACATAAAAAAAACCAT